TGCCTGTATGTGCATTGTACAGAGTTGGGAAACTCTGCAGGAACTTTAGATTTTGGAACACCTTTCCAAAGTAGTTTCCTGAACCCTTCAACAAGCCTGGCTGTACAGTGTGATCAACACCTCGCTAAAGGGCTAAATTTTAAAATAAACAACCTTGTCACTGACAGAAACTGATGGGAAGGATGAAGAGAAATCTGTAGAATGCAATTGAGGACTAGCATTGAAGGATGCTTCCCATGACTTTTCAAGCTGGACAATACACTAGCAGGAATACTCCTAGTCCTAAGCCAAGTTTTGCTGCTGTGAAGCGTGTTCAGTATCAGGTGCCTCAGCACGTTCGAACAATGAACGTGGGGACTACCACATGCACTTCTGTGATGCTTGCCTACAAAGGACCCAAAGTAATGGCAAATAGCAGCTCTCTACCCATACTAGTGGAGGGAAGAGAGAAAGTTGTAAGAGAGATTATATGGAATTAAAAGATTGTGTTTTTTTTCTCAAAAAACTAGGCCAAGGACAATGAGATGTAAATTGCTGCACTCAGAAAAAGCAACTCGATGTTACTGAATGAAGCTGGCTCATAACCTCATTCTACCAGCAGCGGTGCTGGCTCATTTGCATGGATGAAGCTGGGTGATTTTAATGCCAATTCAAGCTCACACTGAGCTTCAGAGTGGAAATCTAAACCAAATCTCCTGCAAAGGCCAGATGTGTTTAACTGCCAAGGTTGCGGTTTTGAGTCTCTCTCTTTTCAGGTTGTGGAAATGTCAAGATCAAACTGAAAGAGCTCTAGTATTTTTTCTGTACACAGAGGACAAAGAAACAACCTGCATGTTCAATACTTTATCCTCAAGAGAACCTCCCTGCAAAAATGGAAGACCTGACCTGTGAGCCCCACCTTGGGCACTACAGGCCTACAGATCTGGTTGCAGCCTCCATGTAGCTCTTTTAAAAGCCTCTATTTGGGGAGGCCCGATCTCTGAGCCATGGCCAGCCCTAAAGCATATCCACTCAGGCAAATATGGTCCTCTGACATGGGGCATGAGTACAATCCAGCTCAGAGACAGCCTCAGTCAAAGCAAACACCAACTTTGTCTGGAGGCAAATGAGAGCTTCCAGATAAAAGTTTGAGTGTTTCCCCAGGACACAAAGAGCACAACACAGATTCCAACAGGCAAAAACTCAGCTGCATTTCCCTATCCTTCTTCTGTAACAAGATCTCCTGTGTCATCTTAGCTTTGAGGGACTCAACTCTTCTCTATGCAGCAGCTGAAGTCTAGCTCAGGGCTACTCACTCTCTAAAGTGTCTCTCCAGCTTTTGTCTCACACAGCTCTGTCCAAACCACTTCTAGCAGGCTATGTTTGTGTGCTTGTCTGCCACAGAGATTCAATCCACCCCAGAACGGCAGCGCCTTATCCGGTGGCCCAAATCCACCACTGCAACACTGACACTTTTACTGCCAGAGCTTTCCCACTTTGAGTTTCACTTACTCTTAGGAAAGTGCCTTAAACTGAGCTCTCCCTGTCCTTTCCACTGATGCTACTCACTCTGGAGTACCACATCTCTGGCCTTTGGTTTGGTAATGATCCCAGCTCACTCTACAACAGCAGGAGCCATGGAGGGAGCGAGTCCAGAGTGATTCTCTGCCTGTTTCACAGCTTGCCTTGCCACCACGGAAGCACTGCCACTTCCCTGCTCTCCATCCAGTTCTCAGTGGTGCAGCTGATAAAGACATTTAAAAGCATGAAAGGAAATGAAAGTGCTCTGTCCCACTAGAAGCCACCAGGAGCTGGATATCGAACCTTCATTTGTGCTTTTGGAAGCCTTCCTCCAGGGCTTTCGTGCAGTAGTGAACTACTGATGTGCAATCTATTCCCTGTTCTTCCCCACTTATTTCACTGCTTGAAGAGAGGCAATAAGACTAGGGACTTCAGCAGTTTTGCCTGATTTGCCAAGTTTTGTTGCCATTCTGTGTTCCAGCCTCAAGACTTTCACAAATTTTATTTGTATTGCTATTGTCAGCATCCCAGCACATAGGTGGGATCAGAGTGCCACCCTGCAGAACATCAGCATCAGTGCTGGCTGATGGCTGAGCTCCCACATAAACCCTCACATCTGGACCCTTTATGAACAAGCCTTTTGAAAAACATCTATAGGACAAAAGGGATTCCTTGTATCTGATGGTGTTCAACTAGGTATTGGTTATATTTTCTTTAATCTTTTCATTTTTGTAGCATTTTGCATGGTCTGGGAACCTGCAGGAACATTTTGTCCCACAGTGCAAAGTAGAAAGTGGGGGCAGAAGACATACTTCCTACTCTGAAATCTGCCCTATGTTTCTATGAGACTTTTGGAGAATCTCTCTGGCCAAATTACTCAAATTATAAATTGCTGTCTGGCTTATCCAGGTTGTCACAGCTTCTGAGCCCAAGACTGTCACTCTATGAGGCACTGAAAATCTGTTTAATTACCTCAGTTTCCCTGTTTGTAAAGGGAGGATAAGACCTTCTTCCATGTCTCAACTCACTAGTATTTGTAAATTGTTCTGAGATTATGGGACAATTGGAACTATTTATAGTAATGCAAAATGCCATTTCTATTAGGTGCAAGTTGCCATGCAATTAAAATATATTGAACATCACAATATATGACAAGTGGGACATCTTGTTTTACATCAGCTAAGAAATGCTCAGTGGCTCTGTGCTTCCTAGATGGTTATTTTGTATTTCTTGCCCTGAAAAACTCATTAATGAAATGTACTGGGCCAGACTGTGATGCTTAGCATGAGTCGTAATCTCTCTGAAAGTTCCCAGCCAACAGGGAGAAGGATGTCCGTGTGGGCAGATCAAGTTCTTCTCCCCACAGCTCTACAAAATGCAGAGTTTTACAATTTGCTGTAAAAAAAAGGTGGGATGTGAACCACAGTTATGGCTCTTTTGCACCTCTTAAAGGAGATTTCCATTCTGTGGGTATACATAAAGAACTGCCCCTGCTCTTAGCATCTCAGGAGAAGGCCCTTTGAATCTCAGCTTTCCTCAGCTGCCTTCTACAGAGTGATCAGGGAGAACTTTTATTGGCTCATTCTCCTACAAATGAATTAATTTTGATCCCTTCCAAAGGGCTGCATAGAGCCTGTCCTTATTTCTCTCCGGGAGAGCTTTGCAAGAGGCCATTTGGACAGGACCACTGCAATAATTCATGCCATGTGCAGACAATTTGTAAATTCTTACAGTGTCCCAGAATGATTCATCATTTTTCTAAGAACATGAAACAGTGTATGTGTGTGTGTTTGTGAATATGCATGCTTATGAAGAGTGAAGACAGGCAGCTCCCCTAGGCCCAGAGGCAGGAATAAAGATCAGCACATATTTCTTCTTTGTCATGTAAGGGTTTCTGTGATGCTCCAGTTGTTTTACCCCTCCATATTTTAGGTTTTAAGTGAACCCGAAGCAGAACGTAGCAGTCTTACTTGTTGCTAGGTCTCCTACAATACACTTTGGAAGATCCAGTCTAACATGTCCCAAAGGTATAATCCTATGCAAATAACTTATTGCAGTGATGATCATTGGCCTTGGCTTCAGCAACCCAGGAGAAGAGCAATTAAAGCCATCCCTCATTCTAGATTACAAGGCCTAAGCTTAATCTCCATTAAGTTTTCAATATGATTAGTTTTGTATCAGCTTTCAAACCAAGCACCTTGCTGGTCATTTCTAGATGAATATACATTAACCCAAGAGAGTTCAGAACAAGGAATCTACAAATTCTAGGACTTGGAACAATTTCCTAAAAGCTATCTTAAATATTCTCCATAAATACCCATGTAATACAAACTAATCCCAGAGGGAAGGCTCATGGGAGTGAAAATTAGAACAATTGCTGGAACAAATGTTCAGGATTTGCTTGGGAGTGCAGTCCAAGCCCTCTTTTGGATACAAGAAATAAAGCCATGTAGGCTTTCACTAGCTATACTAAGTCTGGAACCTCTGAGTACTGAGTGCCTATACCAGAACCTCTCCCTTTTTCACATTTAGGCTATTGCTGCAGGTGCTAAAAATTACTTGCTCCTTGCTGTTACATGTACAGTTGGTAAGAAATGCTCCTTACTTCCCAGTTAAACAATCAGAAGATCATACCAACACGCATTGTGACACATAAGAAAAAGAAAAGCAAAAAAATCCTTTTGTTGCTTTTCATCACCGAAATGATTTTCTGGTAACAGTAAAGTTGACCATGCATTCCTTGGGAGCACGTGACTGTCTGGAGGGCCAAGAGAGAAGAGACTGTTGGTTATAACACGTTTTGAAAGGAAGCATCCATCCTTCACTAGGTAAAACATTTTCCCCTCCTTGCATGCCCCACGGTCATTCCCTTTGCTATTATACTTGAATAGCCAATGGTACCTCCTTCAAAAGGTTTTGTTATTCTGATTTGTCTGGCTAAGAAAATGTCAGCTGCAAGAATAAACCTGGGGAGGCTGCAAGTACAAACACTTATACAAAAGATTTAAAAAACTTATCCTGTTCTGTGCTTGTAGAAGCCAGACTTCACACAAGTTTAAGAGTCCAAATCTCTCATGAAGGGAAGAGAAAGTCATGTAAGAGGTTAAAGAAATCCAAAGCAAACATTAGTATTAGCTTCACTGTATGGTCCTGTAAAACAAGCTGGGTAAAATTAATTTTTGGGTTGGTTTGGCTATCAACATCTCTTGCAGCAACCCTTTTGACTTTAATTTCACCACTGTGCATCAGCTTCTCTTGACTCTTCAGCTTTTTGTTAGCATCAGTATTACGCTGTTCTAGCAGGAGATGTGAATAGCTTGTGTGTTTTTAACCCATGCTCCCACAGTGAAAAAACCCTGAGATACACAACACAAATAATAATAATACTCCTATACAGTCTAAACAAGCTTGGGACAGCTGTGCAAAAACCATATCACAAGCTTTGTTTCTTATGGGGTTGGAAAGAGGCTGATTTCTTAAAAACACACAATTTATCCTACCTTGCTGGCTTTCAGTATCTCAAACATCAGAGGCAACCCTTGTGTGATGAGCTCCTCTGTATACTCCTCTTCCTGAATGGACTTGAATTCCTTCAGCAAGCACTGGATGAGGGGTCGCCTGTGCTGCTGGAAGGACGTGCGCAAGGACTCCAGCCATGTGTGCAGCGTCCAGGGAACACCTATGGATGCAGGATAGAGCTCATATTCCCAACTTCAGACAAGGATGTTGTTCTTCTGCTTTTTTTATGTTTACTTACGTTAAGATTTTAAGCAAAAGCTGCCAAATAACCCCAGAAATAAAACTGCTATTTATCCCCAGTTGAGAAGGCTGATAGTTATCAGGACATCCCAGACCTAATGTACAGAGGATTTCCTCCAAATACTAAGACAGACTGTGGTCTCTCTGCTCATCTAGCCTTCAGCTTCTCTGCTGAGACTGCCAATTTGTGGTAATTGCTGTGGAGCTCTGTGATACAAAAGCCATTTGGAAACTAGATTTACACTAGCTCATTTGTTTGAATGCAGCCCTGGAGAGACATTAAATGGTAAAAAACCCGACTTTGGTCACTACCCACCTGGATTCAAAGTGGTGGTCTTCAGATTAAAACTTTCTTTAAGCACTACCCCATGTCCTCTCCTGATGATTACTATTTTCCCTAAACAGCACTGGGCAAGTGAAGCAGATCAGCCTTTTCAAGTAGTGTGTCCTGGCAGAACCACTCTCCAGGAACTTAAAGGCAACCGCTCCCATGCACTGAGTGAGAAAGCACATGGAGCTAATGTACCTCTGCAGGCATTAGGCTGGATGTGACCTAGTTTCTGCTCTTGCAGAACAGAGTGGGAGGAAATGCAAGCCTGGTGTTTGGCTGTAAAAGGTTTTTCCTTCCATTTCAGCAAATGTCCAGCACCTGGAAAGCAGCTCCATCGCTTTCCTCTCATTCATCACCAGGTCTTTGCCTGCTCAGCCCTCTCGCTGAGCCACCGCTCAGATCACTGCACACGCCATATGCCCCCAGGGCTGCAGCACCCACCAGACCAAGGCATGTTGGGCATGTGGGGTCCCTCTCTCTAAATGCAGATCAAGGAGGATGGTAAATACACAGTCCAGACTGATTCCCCTCCACATTATGCAACCACTCTCCCCATGGGCAGAAGCCAGTTCCCAGCAGGCTGGTATGATGTTCAAGCCCTGCATTGGAAGAGCTGGCACACCAACTTGCCCGTTCCATGCTCCTGCCCTCAGAGGCTCACAAACCTCAGAAAATACAGATGTTTTAATGGTATACTGCTTCATGGCAGAGTGTAGAGTTGGAGGTGGTCCACAGCAGCAAAAAGTTGCCACAGAGCCTTACCTCATGCTCTGCCACGCAGATTGCTGCTGGTGGAAACCACTCCATCCTGCAGAAAAGCACCAGTGGCCCCAGAACAGGGTGCACTGCAGAGCTGAAATGGGCCGGGACCCCACCAGATCCCCCATCGCCTTCTGCTTCCACAAGAGTTGAGGAAGGTGCAACTGCGGTCAGTTTAAACAACAGCACCTCTCTCAGGAAGGGAGATGCGTCTCTTAGAGCGGCCCCCTCCCCGCAGGGAGAGGAGAGCGGGCGGCAGGACTGACCTATGCTCCGTATGTCGATGGTGACGTCGACGTAGCCGTGCTCGGCGCTGTGGTACATGGCCTCCTTCAGGGCTTTCAGCTTGGCCTTGCTGTTGCGGCTGGCGCAGAGCGGAGCCGCTCCCGCGTCAGGCAGGTCTGTCCCTTCGGCCAGGATCTCCTCCAGCGACAGGATATCGCTCTTCTCCTTCTCTGGCTGTGCGAGCAGCTTACGAAAGACATTCCTGTCAATCACAGGACGACAGGGAGAGGGAGGGGGAAAGAGAAGGCAGGAGAGCCGAGTCAGCAGCTTGGCTTTCTTTGTGCCCAGGATACCTGCTGCGATGGGGCAAATTAGGACACCTATAAAGGAAATGACTCCAACTAAGGGCAGGACTGGCTGAGAGCAGTCCCAAGGCAAGCACCACTCCTACTAGCCCACCTGCACCACCCGAGCCACATCTGCAAGATGCTGCTGTCGTGACAGGAACCATACAGATTCACACGAGTAGCAGCATCTCATGGGAACAGAGACCCATGAGCTCAACGTGACTCAAGACTTCTTCCTACAAACAGGGAAGGCTGAGGTGCCTCCAGACAAGCTCTCAAGACTTTCAGCAAGAAGGCCACTTGAGAGGGGAACTGCTTGAAGCTGCTGAAAACACCACCACTTAATTAACACTCAAAGCAGTCTGGGAAAGCTGGAGCAACTAGACATTCAACAAGGCCAGTCAGGGCAGGTTTGAGCACATCTGGGACTGCTCTACAAAGCCACTGATTTGGTTGGACCATCAAATAGCAAAGCCCAAACTCAGAGACTTAGTGCTCTCAAGTTTGTACCAGTGTAACCTCAACAGAGTTGCTCTCAGTTTTGCAGCTGTGAGAATAGAAAGCAGGCTAGCTCCCATACTCCAGTGTCCTCCCTGCACCCGCTCAGACTCTGGTATGGGGTGGCAGCAGGGCATGGCACGTCTCAGGCAAATTTGCAGCAGAAAGGGAAGGAGGAGGGAGTTTGCACGAGTGGTGCACAGGTAGGAACATAAGAGCCAGGATCTGCAACACACACAGCCAGCAGCCAAGCCAAAGAGAGCCCCAGGCCCTCCTTGGGCACGTGGCTCTCACTCACGCCAGCTGGCAGTGAGGCCAAAGCACTGAACATAAGACTTTGATAACCAAATTGTCCTCTCTGCCCCAGGGATCCTTCTCAGGCCTCAGATGGGCAGGACAGTGCAAACCTGCTCTGACGTGCCATTAGCATGTTGTTAGACTGGCAGCTTGTCTCTAAGCAAACAGACGGTAGGTACTGTCTCTAACCTGTATCTATGTTCCTCTGGATGGCTACAATCAGAAAAGTAGGAACGTGAAGATCATAATACTAATCCACTGCAGTCATCTCCTGAGCGTTGCAAGATCATGCATGTCAGGTGCTCATTTCATTACTTCTTTTTTAAAAATTTGCAGCACACATACAGTAGTAAGACACACAGGACTTTACAGTAAACAGATGCAGAAACTCTATTCAACAAAAATTAAGGCTGCAGTAGTACAGATGTGATTCGCTCAAACTTGAGCAATGTGTCAAGAAATTCAGAAGGAATGGCTTTGGCATTCCTTTCTGCTGTCACATCAGCTGCCATTTAACAACCAATGCATTGCGACACACCACAAAGAGTCCCCTTCCTTTTCTTTAAAATCAGGATATCAAAAAGCAGCTTCTACCACCGTCTACATTCACATGCTAGTAAAAAGCCTTACATCTCTGCTCAGCTGGTGGCATGTTCAATCGTTCATGCAGAACTTTCACCCATCTGCTCAAACCAGATGCCCAGGAAAAAAGTAAGCACTCGAAGGATGCCACTAGACTTGTTCCCACTCTACCTGTGTCCATGTGCAGCAGCCTGACTGAAAGAGTTCATGTCACCTTGTGGAGTCATGGAAATGCCATTCCTGTACATTGTTCCTATCATGGGGTCAGCTCCTCGCTCCAACAGCAAACTGACCAGTTCAAAATTTCCTGCAAGTCAAGACATGCATTTTTACTGTTTTTAAAAAATCCAGTATTTGCTCACCTAAGCCACAGATCCTGAGTGAAGAATTTATTACAGTGGGAGGAGAAAGTCCTTACCAGCAGCTGCTGCCAACTGTAAAGGAGTTTCAGAGTAATTTTCCTCTCCATGCTCCAAGGAACCTTCTACCTTTGCTCCAGCATCCAGCAACAGCTAGAAAGAAAATTCACCATTTAGAGCAGCTGGGGGTATCACAGTCTTCAGAGTCCACGAGCAGTGACAAATGAGAGTCTAATGCTTCTTGTTATCTGCAAACCAGATACGATGGAGACAAGTGACATGCAGATTCTGTCTATTGTTTCACAGAGGCAAATTGATTCCTTTTTTCGCTCATTTTATGCTGCCAGACACTAGGAGTACTAGTGTCCAACTTCAGAGCCAAAAAAGTGTAACCCAGTCTTTCTGGATAGGAAATGGGGCAAGGCCAGTGCTAGGAAGTAATGCGCTGAAGATGGAAGTACTGAAAATTGGCTGCACAAGAATCCTTCCTTCATGGTCTTCTAGAAGCCCAGCACCATCCTAAAATAAATCAGACTTCGATTGCCTCCATGTTTTATATAAAGACATGGCCAGAAGAAAGGCAATTCTTAAGAACTAATTGCAGCAATGAGTCCAAAAGCTGTGATCTCCATTGGGGACACTTCCACGTAAAGAGCAACAATGCCAAAAACAAAAGTGTCCAAGGAGAGCAGGATGGAGTCTGTGCTCCAGCCCTCTCTTGGCCATTTCTGTTTTCAGGCCTTAATGAAGTGTGCCATAGACCCAGCTGTTTTGAAGAACAAGCTTTCTCAACTTTTGAGACGCCAAAGCACAGAACCAGCATATCGCACACGACACCTTGATAGGGTAAGGAGACCAAGTGCATCTCCCCCCTGGGAGCAGCACAGGGAGTTGCCTGTTGTCCAACTCTCCCCCATCAAGGCAGCAGTTTTGTGTTTGCTAGAGTATTATAGTGTAAGAAAGTGTAATGAATGGATAAACACATAAAACAAGTGGTCAGGAAGGAGCACAAGGAGTTGTCAGACTTTTTTTGGTGCAACTTTGCTTTAAAATTGTCCTATTTAAACCTCATATTGGTTAAGGTTTGGACACCATATTCTCTACGTAACAGGTCTATTATATATCAGTACACTCTAGAAGAAGCAGAAGTAACCAATATGAGTATGACAAGAGGATATTGGATTGAGATGGATGTAATTAGAACTGAAAAGGAGAAACAAAAGAATGAGATGCAGGTAGGGAAATACAATAATACCTGAACTACAGGAATATGTCCATGCAACACAGCAAATGTCAGAGCTGTCCAATGGCGGGTCTCAGGGTGGACGGATGGGTATTTATGAGCAGTACTGACAACCTACAAACAAATTAAAGTTATTTTTTTAAAGAGCTATACGTAGTAAAATTCAGCCTGCCTGAAAGCCAGGCACGTGAGGGGAGTAAGTGAAACAGAAAACCTGGGAAAAGTGCTTTATAAAACGATTGGCTTCTTTTTTTTTTTTCCTGCAAAAATTTTCTCAGTATTAAATCTGGTTTTGCCGATTTGACAGCTTGAATAGAGTTCATACCAAATGAAGTCTTTTTACCAACTACTGTAGCTCCATCTAAACCACTGGCCACCAGATACTTTTGCACAAGGTCAAAACATCCACAGCTGGTTACAGCAGCACACATCGGGGATGCAGGGACAGATCAGGACTCTAAGAGCTAAAGGACTGCTCCTGCTGACTTCTGTGGACTGTGTATTAACAGCATCAGGTCTCGGGATTGCTCCAGGCCCCAAGAAATTCTTTCCACATAAATCAGTATGACTTATGTCACTGCCGTCACGGAAGACATATCACAATCCCTAACCTAGAGTTCATAGACATGCTTCCAGGCTCCTCTTCTGCCACCAGAGGCAAAAAGACAGCTGAGAAGTGATGGTATGTGAGTGGCACTTGAGAAATGTGTTAAGAAAACTCCTTTTTAGTGCCTTCTCCTGACTGAGTTAAAAGAGCAGGGTGGTGACAGTTAAAAGAGATGCAAACTATACCCTTAGAAAACAAAACGGTATTTTTCACATTGCTCCTTCCATTTTATATGCTTTAGTGCCTGGTGCCTCTAATGTAGACGCTGGGGAAGATGAATAACCACTCCTTGCTTCAGTTTCCCTGTCTTACAGATGGGGGTATTAATATTGATGAGATTCACGGAGATGGTAAAATCTAATGAATGTTTGCAATCCGAGACTGCACACTCAGATGGAGTGTGACACTAAAATTCAAAATCTTATTATTGATCTGCAGAGGAGGACTAAAATCAGAGTAAAAGATGCACCATCTCTCTGTATCATCAGCCAGCCATGATTTCACTACCTTGTCTCCAAGTACTTTTATCCATGTAGAGGAGCAGGGGCAGTTATTAAATGCTCAGCTGCATTAGCAGCTTGCATTTCCAAGCATCACATGCAGCATTTTGCTAGAAGCACACAACCAGGTCCTCAGTCCCAAGGATGGGGAGGAGGGCAAAATCTGAAGAGCCCTTGCAGATCCCACAGCTTGCCAGAAGAGCAGATCTGCACCAGCACCTGGCTGTTATTGCCCAGATTTGCCAAAGAGAGAGCTCAAAGTGCAACAGGAGAAGTGTGCTGGCCTCTGAGCAAAGGCACGGGGCTCCTTTGGGTCTGGGTTTGCTCAGAAGGAAGAGGATCTATGAAGCAGCTCAAGCCTTGGGGTTTAGGGTGGGGAGCAAGAGCAGCTGAGGGTGAGGATGGGCAGGATCATGCTTCAGTGAATGCATCTAGGTCCTCCTCAAGCACAAATTCTCACCACTGTTTGGGGCAGCCAACAGCAGGTGGTAAAGAAAATTAAGTCTTTCTAACTCCTTTGCTCCTTTTTTTTTTCTTAGCACTCTTTCACGTCAACATGGTGTTTGCACAAGACCTGTGGTTGATCAGGCTTCTAAGGCCTCAGCTGAGATTTGTTGAGCAGCTACAGGCCCCACTGACTTGAGAGTGAATTGCAGCTTCTTAATACATCTGGAAGTGAGTCCATTTTTGTTAAAGATGGGCAATCAAAAAGGGAGGCATCCAGCATCTGAGGCTACTTTTGGAAACATATATATATATATATAACTTATTTGCAAAGTAAAAAGGGGAAAATGATGCAGGCACCTGACAGAGTATTTATTTTTGTTCATGGTTGATTCGTCCTTTTTTTCCCCATAATTGCCCACTTTGCACAGTTGGTTGTGGTGTGCACAAATCATCTTATAATTGCACACCATAATTATTCACAGCTCTTGTCCCAAAGTGTTTTCATTTGATTTTAGAGCAAACACTCTACAGAAATGAATCAGAGAGGTTCACATCCCTCACTGGAGCTGTTCTCTACGATGTCAGCAGTTTCAGGAAGACAAAACTGTTCAAATTTGCATTTGGTTCGGGTCTGGAAGATTACTGGAGCAACTGGGAGGACTGATCTTCATGAAAAATTGTCCCAGGAATCAAATGATGCCATCTCACCTCTAAGTCATAGGCAGGGTTGAAGGAGAGATCAGTCTCCATGCCCATCCAGTCTTTGGTGTGCCTACCGAGAGTGCTAATAAGGGTTCAGCTATTCAATTATTGCCAGCTCTTGAGGGTGGTGTGCTTGAATTTGAGGAACTGAAATCATCAGCTGATTTCACAGAAGCCACCAAACAGCAATCAGATAGTAACAACTATCAGTCTCTTACAGGTGACATCCATTTCTACTTTTAAATTAGATTTTTTAGAAGTGCAAAACGGCTGGCTGAAAGCAGTGACTATAATTTATCAGCTTGCTCAAATCCAAACAGAACAGATGGAACACAGATAAGTGAAGCAGACAGCTTAATTTACTCATGACCTCAACAAATTGAAACTAGAATAATTAACACATAATTCTTCCATGGATTTTCAAAGGGCTTTTTAAAAATGTACACACCTGCATTGCACAGTCAGACCACACTCTGTGTGCTGGACAGATTGTGCAAGTTTGTGATGTGCATTCATCAAAGAGACATTTATATTCTGGAAGCTTCAAGCTCCTCATCCAATAATTTTTTTTTGTCTGAAGCACTTTGTAAAACAAAACAGTGGAACCGACATTGCACTTGTGTGCTGGGCATACTTAGCTGGGACATCCTACTACATAGAAATTCTTGAGCTTTGGCAGGTTATCAGATGGGTATATTTCTTTTATCCTCTTCATTTTAACTCAGCTGAGATTCAGAGAGTCCTTCCAATGTCAGAGCTGTGCTCTGTGCTAGTGCTAATGCCTGTATTCATTTGCAGTGTGCAAACACAACTACATGCGTATTACCTGCGGGGCAAGGCCGATGACCTGACCCCTTCTGTGCAGTGAATCCCAGAGTTAATCTAATGCAGCTTGATTTCACTATTCATTTCAAGTGGTGCTGTGCAGGATAAGACAAATTTATTTTTCTTTTTAATTCTTGGGATTTTCCCTCCACTACAGTTTCAGGGGAAAGTTTAAGATGTAAACAAATAACAAAACAAAGATACAACCAACAAAAAGTCCTCACCTCAGCATTCAGATCTGCTCCAGCATCTAGCAGCATCTGCACCATAGCCTCATCACCCCTGACACAAGCATACATCAGTGGAGTCATGCCCTATTCATGTTTTGGAGTTAAAAAACAAAGGAATTGACAAATTTAACATAGAACTCTCTTTGATTTTTTAAAAACAATTATTTAAATATATATCATCAAGTCTAACAGTATGTTTTTAACGAAAGCCATTACCTCTGTTACAGACATGCCCTCCAGACTACCAAAAGCTAACCTTTTTGTAAAATTTCCATTTTTGTTGTCACTTCTGTTGACTGGGGTTTTTTTTGTTGTTATTGTTATCCTCAGCATGGTGAGTGAAATTAGGCTTGTCAGCCTCACCTCCACCTTCATATACTAAACTGATTATTTTTACCTTCGGAGCACCACCAGAAAAATGTTTTTATCAAAGCAATTGTATTTCGACCGGTATTTTAAAGAGACAATAATTCTGTTTGGTTTTCTATGAACACCATTTCATAAAATCTAACTTTTTAGTTACTGAAAGAGCCTTTAAAATATCCCAAGGCTCTAACATAGGTTAGATTCAGGCACAGCTTTTTCAATGTGGATACCATAAGGGGCTGGAAATGTAAAGGGTTTGCATAGCACTCTCTAAGAAACAAGGACTTAATTTTAAATGAACTGCCAGGCAGCACTGTTGCAAGTTGCTGGCTCTAGGAAATCATGGCTCTGTTTGGGGGAAAAATAGATTAACTGACCCTTCACTACAGAACCACTACAATGCAATTTGTATTAATCTGAAATACCTGCTGCGGCTGATCACCATTTCCCTTAAGATTACTACAGCCACAGCAATACTTACAAGTCCAGATGAAACCATGAAAAAACCAAATCATTAAATCTAACATAAACTATAACAGAAAAAGCTGCTTATTAAATACAGTAGCGGGTGTTGATCAACAGCCACCACTTGTTTTGCAGTAAATCTACCACAGCACGCAGCTACCTCTGATGCATGTTTACAGCCTGCCTTGAGGTCTCCTCTTAAATTTGCCATCAGACAATAGCCCGTTTGCTGTTAAACCTGAGTGCTCCTGTGAAGTTATTTTCAGAGAAACTGGAGGTGCCCAGCATGGCCACACAGAGCCATGACAGCACTCTTCCTAGCAAGAGCCCAGCACCAATTTTTTTTTTCTGAACTACCTACCCCATTTTTCCTGTTTGCATGCAGGGCTAAAGATAGTGAGAGCTTATATATGGAAGGGCTGCTCTTGTAGAGAAAATAGGGAAAAATTAAGGTTTGTCCCTGCAAGGTACTTGGATCCCTCCTGAAACACATTGAGCACTTCACAGGATCAAATCTGCAGTGTACTTATGAAGATACAGAGTAAGGGAATAGGCATTTGGGGCCTCATGCCATTATTAAGAAAAAACAAGTTCACCCCAGGCAAGGAGAGTTCTTGGGTGACTTGAAGTTACCTGCAAAGAGAATCTGAAACTATTTCAGCTACACTCAGCAGTAAAACATTTCCTTCAGAAGTCAATAAACACTACAGGAACAAACAGGACTATGAGGCTTACAAAAAATTGTGTTTGAGCCTTGCAACACAGGGATGGGATGGCAGCTTAAAATTAAATGCATGTTCCTTCAACTATTTTTTCAATTTCTGTAAGTGGTGTCATTTGATAATTAAATCAAGCATTTAGCACAAGGAGTCTAATCAGATCTGACAAAAAGGATTGGAAAAGCTGGTCCTGGGGCTCCCCTCCAGCAAGAGGCAACGTTTGGGCAGCCACAGCAAAGAACCCCACAGCAGGGCCTGGAGCACAATGTCCTCCTGGGGACCAAGGGGGGTAATTTGTCCCTGCTGAAGCTGAAGAATGACCTACGACTGACTACAAGGGGCCCAGAATGTAATGCTGCAGTAGCAGGGTTTTTTAAAGAGTTAATGAGGTTTCTAATTTCCCTTGTACTCCCTGTGGCTTTTGCCTCTGCCAGTCCCCCCTAGGCTTGCTCTGCAGCTCAGCCTTGCGCTGCAGCATCACTTAGCCCCCCTCTCTTTGCACGTGGGAGGAATGGATTTTTAATGAGTCCATCATTAATGTTCAACACACACAGAAGAACATGGTAACAACGTATACAATCAATGCAAAAGGCATGTGGCTTTTGGCAAAACGAAAAACCACTCTATTTCTTTCAGGCTTGTATCACTTAGGGCTCCGTCCTGCAAAATATGGGATCCTACATGTGGGATATTTGATCCAGTGAAGTATTTAAGCCCAGACTTAACTTTCACTCGAACAGGATGTAAGCATGTATTCAGAGTTAATCATACGATTAGGTACTTTGAATCAAGCCAGAGTGTTCCCAGGTTTCACCCTGGAGGACAGAGGAAATACACTATGGAAAGTTTCCAGGTTCAGACTAACTTAAAATAATAATAAAAGTATAATGTATGTACCTTGGCATGAGCAGTCTGTTTTTTTTCTTTTTGTCAGGGAGCACTGCCATCTTCTAAAGCTTTCCTCAAAGGATCCACAATATTGACTCAGACTGAAGCTACTGAACAGCAATGTAACTCACATTCCTGGAGCAGCTTTCATCTCAGAAGACCTAAACCCACTAACTGTACAGCTCCTGTCCCAGGTGACAACCTCAGGGTCCTGCCTCCTGCCAATGAGGATGCCCCAGCTCTGCGAACGTGCAACGATATTTTCATTAGGGGCACCAGGAAATTCAAAGGACTCTATTTCAAAAGTAAACAGTAGCATCCATGGCCATGAAAGGGGAAACCACCTTGCTGAGCATCACAGTCCAATAGGTTGCTGCTGGTAGGTAGCTGCAGAAGCAGGTTTATCCTTGGACATAACCACCAGCTACCAATGGTCTTTGGCCAATGGTCAACTACAAAGACCAACGGAGGGGTAATGCTGCAGAGATACTTTCACACCTGGAAGGTCAGTTCAAATTGGACTGAAGTTGAAGAGTGCCAGCAATTAATTTTGCTGAGGGTTTGGTGGGGCAACCAAAAGGCATTGCAGATCCCAGAGCAGTGTTCAGTGGGAGGATGTTCACCTCACAAAGCCCTGCCCCACACCAGTGTTCATGGCACTGAAACAGCTTTAAGTATTCAGATTGATGCTAAGCTTTCTTGGGATCTTCTTCTGCCTTCACTCAACTCAGTTCACTGTTACGATTTCAGGGGATGCGTTCACCCTCATGCTGAGTTGCGTCAGTATCAATGAATCAGTATAACTCAAAAAGTCCAAAAATTACATAGATGTTCACCTGGCAATGCTTTAATTCAATGCAAAGTGATACAGAGAAAGTACTAAGGTCCTGTCTACGTTTAACTGAAAGCTGGGGTTTGGTTTTTGTGATAAGCAGACAAAACTCTTTTCTTTCACAGTTACTTTTATACGTTTCTGTCTCATTACCTGTTCACTCATGCTGTTAATCCCATCAGGCCCCAGCAAAGATATGGCTTGTTTAACCAGATCCGTTCGGCCGCAGTTGAGCATCCGGAAACCCAGGTCCTGCTTGAACTTCGCTTCGGTGGCCACTGCATCCAGCTTCCGAGAGGCACAAAAACAGTCGTCGATTCTGTGGACATGAGAAACAGATTCCCTCAGAGGACAAACAGAGGATAGACCTTGCTGTCCCTATGAAAATAATGCTTTGCCCTATCTTTGAAGGATGTAGGTCATGCACGCACTCAGTCTCCTTTGACCTGTTTGTTTGAGGGAAGTGCTGAATGGGAAATGCTAATGCAAGCTAATGGAGAATGCCCTTGCTCTATCTTTTATGGGACAAGTAACACATTTTATAAAAAGCTGGGGAAAAAAAGCACAGTTTTCACTTGATTTTGTTTCCCTGTTTAAGCAATGCACAACCATTTTCACTGTAAGTTTTCTCTCTGCATGGCGAGGTTATCTCATACCCCGATCTCTGAAAAGTTTCAGTTGCTTCAGTAAGCTTTGAACTTACATCAAATGGATGTATAATCATTCAAAGAGAAAATAATGTCACTCCAAAGACCTTCAAGAATCTTACCAGCACAGTCTCAGTAACAGGGAAGCTTTTTTTATGCAGAAAGTGTAAGTAGCAGAATTCCAAACTGGCTGAGTTTGGGAGTGACCTCTGGGGATCCCCTGGCCCAACCCACCCTGCTCAAGCAGAGCCACCATGAGGTGAGGGAGAAGGCAATTTTGTCGGGTAATTGTGTCAAAACACTGTAAATCCTTTCTGGCTGTGTCTAACAGATGAGATGTCATTCTTTTAAGGTCTTATGCAAAAGATCTCCAAACTGTAAAATGCTCAAGATATCCATTTCAAATGGAAGAAGAGATAGTAGGTTTTCTAGCCAAGATGTGAAGCTACAGCTCCAGAGAGAGCCAGGCAATTCAAATCTAATGTTTATTCTACTCAGTTTCATGTTATTAAAAGACAAATTTGCTTTTCTTTCATGCTGAGGAGTGTTTGGGGCTGAGGGTGGAGTACAAATCCACAGTGCTTTTGGTGTGAACTTGAATAAAGGACTGTTTGGAAAAACATCGCTTTCAATCTCCAAAAATGCTAGGTCAGAAAATGAGGGGGCTACTTTTGAGTGAAAAAGAAAATAAAGATCAAAAGCGAAAAAGACAAACATACGCCAAGTATTTGTTTTCCATTTCATATGTAAAAAAATGCAGCAAATCAAAAGAAAAACAGAAACAGCACATCACCATCATTTAAATTTCTTCTTCAAAGTGCTTTATCAGAGCTTTATAAAATATATAATGCTGCTTAATATTTAACAGCAATATGCAATGAATATGCTGTTTATATAGAAGCAGTGGTATGTACTGAGGTTCCTCTTTGAACAGCGGAAGGAAAGCAAGATGGTAAATACAGTATTTTGATCAAAGCTTCTGCAGGACTTAGTACTGAAAGTGGCATCTGAGTTCAAGCTTTCCCTCTGCTGTGCTAGGCCATGACCAGTCTGGAAGTCGACAGATAGTTTGTTGATATTCATTCTACATGCTCAGTTTGTGTTTTGACTGCTAAAAAGTTGATGTTCTAAGAATGCAAACAAAGTGTGCTTGGAGATCGTCACTCAGGGGAATAAGGATGACACTTCTTCACAACGGTGTGCTGCTAGGTTAATGCACACTTGGTCACAATAAATAGACTGTAACAGCAACAACGGGTTCTGCACCAGTAATATGCCTGCCACAGAGATGAAGGAAGGAATGCATATCAAGGCTGGGCTTTCTGCAGTAGGTTCTGAGTGAGTTTAAGGAAAAAGCAAAACCAGCACAGACACACAGGGTCGAGCTCAATGACAGCAAGATCCATGGGAGTGACTGCAGCTTAGCATATTCACACCGTACGGCACATTTCTGACACAGGAGCTACAGCAACATTTGGAACTTGTTACCCCCATAGCAGGAGATGCTAGAGATCATCTGTGTCCTACTTTAATATATGGCAAAGATAAAGCAAGCTCAGAAGTTAGATGGTGGGGGTTTTGGTGCATGGAGAGAGAGTCTGGACCTCCCAGATGCAGATGGCCTTTTCCAGATGACTCTGGGATGAAAATGAGGTGGTTCCTCATCAAAGTGCAGCTATGGAAATATCTAGACATCCTCTGAGGACCGCAGAGGTGTCTGCCACTGTGAATCACTGCCTGCGTTAAGTCACTGCTTCATCACTTGTACTGAGGTATACAACACACACTCTGAATAAAGCAGGTCAAACTCAGTGCTGGAAGAAAACAGGCAGATCTCACTGACGTCAGCCCAGCTCAACGCATGCAAAATGATAGTTGATAATCTCCTCTTTAAAAAAAAAAAGCCAGATTTTGACCTGGGTTGCACACCCATACAAGGGAGGAACAAGGAGCAGTGACCTAATGCACCCATCCTGTATGGGCTGCCCAGATCTCTGCTCTGCCATGGGTTCAGAAATTACATCTCTCTGAGGATTTCCTCCATGAGTTTGCCCTGGTTCCCTAAAAGCACATCAGTTCACCTGCTTATTATAGCTAAGGAAGGGGACTCATTAATTACTGCTGATATTTGGTATCAGCAAATTAGGACTCCTCAACCAGCTGGGAGGATAAGGGGCTCTGTCCAAGGGCTCCAGGATGCTACAGCTGTACAAACACTGCAACAATAACATATATACAGAGATGTGCCTGGGCTGCAAGGCTTCTAGGACACCAGCTGGGATGAAATGTCATCTAGACCAAGAACCACAAAGCAAGAAACCACAACTTAGTACCACTACTGGTAGCCCATTGCCATTTTATACCCCAAAAAGCACCCATCACCTAAGTGAGTTAGGGCCTGGATTTATGGACCATAGCAAAGGAATCTATATGACAAAATTTGATATAGATTATTGCTGTTGCCACCATTATCATATGATGAGTAATAAAAACGATAGTGATCAAACTGGAGAGTTTAATAAAACAAGAGCGTGACGCAAGGGAAAAGAACAGAGGATGCTTCAGAAGAGAAAGTGTAGCAATCTTGTGAAGAGCCAGAGATGAATGAGTTAAGGAAAAGGAGATTTAACATCTACAGATAAAAAGCAGTGAAGAGACAGATCAAAAATGATCAGGAACTACAAGTACAGAATAGGAGAACAGCATCACTTTACACTGGAGAAAGCCAACTGGGAAGATGGTACAGCAGACAGACCAAACAGTTGTAAAACAAAATGAAAACAAAAACCTCCAATCAAAAAAACACTCCCTAATCCATAAAAAATCACCCTAAACCACCATAGCACTGCATTTGCTCCCAAGTCCCCTTTCATACCATTAACTGCATAATGTTGACTCCAACAGGAGCAGAGTCTCTGCTCCATATTACACTGGATAAGGGGGATGTCATTCCATCATGGACACCCTGCACAATCACAGACATTACAGGATGCAAGATAAAAAAGGTTGAAGGGAACAGCCACCCAGGTTTGAGTCATTTAAGACTTCCTAACTTTGGATTGCAACAGATTCACTGACAAGAAGAGACGGGAAAGGGATGGGAAGAAGCTTGGCAAATAAGGCTGATGAGGAACAGTTAAGTCAGCTAAACAGGGGCACTTCCAGGGTTGTGAAACTGGGCCTGCAAAGCAAGGGAAGCCAGCGTAAGTACAAACAGAGCTGGAAACCTCCCCAGCTGCACAATCAGTTCATGGCCCTTTTTGTAAAAAAGTCTTTGTGATCTTTCCAAACATGCAGGAGGGTGACACCAGCCCGAAGGCGAGACATCCCCTCCAAAGCCACCTTGGTCCATTGCCAGATTCTGACAGCTGCCAGTGCTCACACAAGTCATTCTTTCCCCAAGCCCTCACCCTGTGAAAAAGGTACATTTTCATCAACAGAAGAGAGAAGGCTGATGGGAAGAGCAGAACACCACAGGGAGCCAATGCTCTTCTCCCCTCTTTTCCCTACTGACAGTCTAAGATGGCAGGACATCACCATTACAAATGCTGGCTAGGTCAGGTGAACTTTGAGGTCCCCCAGAGGTGATACAGTGACAAAGGCAGCACTGACCAGCATCCTTTGAGGGCGATACCCTCTCTCAACAGACTGAGTCCATTCCAGAATTCGCTGTTTAACAACATGTGGGGCTGAGCAGACTCCAGGGCACCACCACCACCATACACATGCTCCCACTCCCACAACTTAGAGTGAGTATGCTTGAATTAATAACATACACTGATCATAGTCCTCGTGCTCAACAGCAAAACCACCCCTCTACTTCAGCAGTTCAATCACACAACCTGGAAACTCCCTGACTGCTCCCTCCCTACCTTGAATCAAGCAAACAATTGCCTTTATAAGTAAAAGGAAAATTAGAAACAGGTGAAATCTTCTTGATTTTATATTTGTAGCTAATATGTGACTACATTTTTTTGACTTACAATGCAATAGAGTTTTCTCCGAGTCCTCCTTCAATTCCTCACAGATATTGCTTCTACAGCAGTTATCTTTAAGAACATTACAGCGTTGCCACTGCACATAATTAACTTTACTGTGGCTTTATATGGGAAATGCCATGGTAACATTAATTATCTGCAAATGGTCACTGTCAAATGCTGCCTGGTCACCATGACACTCTATCATACTCCGAAATACTCAAACCTCTGAAAGGAGTCAAAGATAATCTTCATTTATAACAGGACCTAGCAGTACAGCAAAATTATTTTTATCGTTTCTCAAACTCACAGTACAAAAACATAATGCAGCACTTCTACAGCAACAGTTTAAATGCAAGGGTTTTTTTGTTGGTTTTGTTTTCTTTTGTTTTTCTAGTTTTTTCTTCCATTTTCACTCAGACTGGCTACGAGGGTCTGTGCAGATCTTTAATAAGTTACTCATGGGTAGAATACATTTGGGAAAATGGATGATACAAAGGCAGTGTTTCCATCGTAACTGGTAGACACAACAGCTCTCTTATTGCATAGCTTTTTAATTATTTGTTCTTTGGGAGGGGACTATTGCTATAGTCAGTAGTGGAAAAATGCTCTGTAAACGTTACCAAAGATGAAGCAGGAACATCTTAATCATGTTCTAAGCTATACATGCTGGCATAGCATGCTAATAGTTAATT